TCACTGCTTTCAGAAGTTCAAATGATAACAATCTAAACATTTACAAAAAGATAAAAGATGTCAATAAGTGAACAGATGGTTCAACACTAAGAACATCAGTACCAATTGCAAGATATTGCATAACAAAATTATTCCATTAGTGTATCTTAAAGTAAAGCTTTATCATAATTTTGGTAGGAAAACAGAGAGAAAAAGGAGAGAGAGAAATAGCATGACAGAAACTTCCTACAGAAGCCACATACATAAACTTATGGAATCTTGTCCAGAACAATGAGTTAAGCCAGACATCTTTTCAAGATTTGCAAGATTTAAAGGGAGGAAAGAAGCTAGGAACCCTGGAATTTCTGCAAAGAGCATGGAGTCACTAGAAGATGTATTCAGAGTCTGGGCAAGCCACTGTATCTAAAAGCACAATCAGAGGAGACATGGCAGCTATCAGCCAAAATGTTGACATTATCTCCATACTGCTTCCACCATGAAACTACTCTGCATGGTATCAGCTGTTGAAGTAACAAGAATGCAGAAGCCATTCTCCAAAAAATACTTGGTCTTATCTAATAAGTTGTACCTAGATAACTAATGATAAAGAATTGCAGACACTCTGCATCTGACTGTATCATTTGCACTCAAATTTGAGCATGAATTTAAAAAACACACAGCTTTCCAAATCAATCAACACCTAGTAAGATAGTACCTAAGTGCACAAAGGCATGGAAACTGTATCCTTCCCACTAAACATCAGTAACACATGGTACACTCAAGCACTTCAGCTGAATCTGAAATATTATATAACAGTTTTGGAAAAAACCTCATGCTATCACTGCATCTTACACGAACCTTATACTACCTCCAACAGCTTCTTTAAAGATCAAGGAAAAACTTGGTTTGTGCATTCACAGCATGTTTAAAATACCTCAATTTTTAGTTTCTGATTATACAGAATCTTGAAAAGCGAGTAAAAGAACATAGATTTTCTAACAGAAAAATACAGTTATTGCAAGGTGGATTATAACATCACTAAGAATGGAAGTACTTTTAATGAGCAAATTTATCAGAACAGTAGCTTAGCAAGTGATCCAAGTACTTCTTAAATACATACAGAAGTATGGTAATAGAAATAGCAGAAGTTGCCAATATTATTTTTCATTGATCATAAATAATTTCATTATTCATGATTAGGCACTGAAAAACAAATATTCACACACAAACTCATCACTTATTTCTTGAGTCGCCATCATTGCTTTGCTGATTCTCCGTATTCCCTCTTAATGAACATCCTCTTTTTCATCTTAGCTTGTTGAGACACTGGAATTTATTGTGATTGACTGGCAAAATAGTCTGTTTCAACAGTAGGTAGCCTGACTGCTCAAATGGAATAATAAAGCTAACAGATAATTTTTTATTAAGGAGGTTTTTGCTTTAGGATTGATCACTGCAAGAAGGAAGAATGAAGACCATATATGCTCCAGTTTCTTTTAATGTTTTTTTTCCTTAATCTCTCTCACTGCCTTCTCCCAAAGGAAAGGCTTAATTTATCAGTATATAAAGCCACATCCAGCCACACTGACATGCACTAACTTGTTGTTAGGGGACAATAAGAAAATTCATAAGGTGACAACAAATATTTGCTGCAAAACAGAAACTAACAAAAGCTTCAGAAATTAAAAAAGAACATAATGATAATGATAATAATAATGGAGGAAAGTTTTATATGATGACAGAGAGGACATCAATCAGCTCCTAAATCCAACTCTCAGTGGCTGAATCTTCTGTCTCAAGAATCAGTTTGCTACACAAACAGAAAATATTCACCCTTCTCTCTACTTTATGGAAAAAAGCAAGTCTTAGAACTGGCAGTCTAATACCATGTCTTCAGTCATACAAGTATTTTCAACTCAGAATCATCACATACAGCAAGTAATTTCATTATTTTTTTTAAATTTACATTCTCCTTTGACTCTTACATAACCAGTTATATCCAGAGGAATTCTCTTATGCCACAGGAAGATGTTCACAGCAGAAACAGTTCCAACAACTTAATATATTTCTGGCACCCTTGTCAGACATTACCACCCCCACAGCCCAGCTGGCAGACTGGAAAATGCACGCACACCTTCACTGCTGCAGTAGAATAATTCAGTCACAAGAGTAACTGCCAACAAAAGTCGATTTAAAGCTGAGCCTGTACTGACGTTGAGCCACTGGGCAGGACACCCGTGGAAACAGACGATGTGAGACAAGCTGTGTTTGCTGGACCATCCACTCAGATGGCCTCCAATAGTTTAACTGGAGAAAAGTGAATACAACATTCCGCTTAATCTTAGGCTAAACAATTCAAAACCTGCTTATCAAAAGGATCTTTCTTCCTCAACTTTCAGCACTTCCCTGACATATCCGCAGCACCATGAAGTAGGGAAA